GGACTTGCCATGTTTCGTTTCTCTTCTGCGCGCCATCGCTAGCCGAAGTTCACTACGCTGGAGGGCCGAACGTTCGGTGGCGGCACGACCAACGTGGAGCTCCGTGTCGCATGATGACTACTATGACGGGAGCGAGCCAGTGCACAGCATACGGAGCTATCACCGCGACCACCGTGCTATGCTCGCCAGGGGGCGGGTGTGGCATGAGGTCGACCTTCATGCAGGCCAGAACGTTGCGGCACGCTCAAGCTATGTGGTTACCTCAGACGGCGACACAACGCACTCGCCTGAAGCTCGGATCTGGGATCGCCCCGACTACATCATCACGTCTTCCCCACGGCTAGAGTCCACGCGGATTGCTTCACGGGACGGTATCACAGCTACACAACGGTGGCAGCTGGGACAACTGGTGGGCATACGTATGCAACGCAAGCCACACATCGACTTCTACGCCCTCTGTGGGTACGCCCCCGCCAACAAGCCCCAAGCACGACCTATCACGGCGGCTGCCCACGCAGGATGCCGACGCGACAAGGATGAGTTCTTCGACAATGTGAATGGAACCTTGGGTTGTATTCCCTCTCGATGTGCACCGTCACTACATGAAGTGGGCCGAGAGCGACGGACCGAGAGCGACCAGCGGCAGGTCCTGATGGCCTCGAAGGCGGCGTCCGCTGCCAGCGAGAAGGCCCTCAGAGGAATTCGTTCCAAGCATCGCGCTGCTGGATCGGAGCGACTGACCGTCACCTCGTGCTGATCGTATCCATCCCACAACCCCGTGGGGCGTTGAAGTGGCAGGAGCTTGCGGGACTTATGATCGACGACGACCATGCTCCTCGCACCACGCCGTGAGCTCAAGGAAATGAAGTAGTAGACTGGGATGTTGGGTTTACTTCAAATGAGTCCACCAGGTTGCATGCACCAGTGCTCACTTATTCTGTAAAGCCTGCTGCAGGCGCCTGGTTTAGTTTTGTGTTGTTTCCAACGCTTGTGCCTCCTCGTCCGCCCTCCTTCCTTCTTGGCCCGCTGCGTTCGTGACTTTGAGTTTGGCTCGGCCCGCAGCCCTGCCCTTGTATAGCCTGGAGCGTTGCCGACTTCGCATTGCTGGTAAGGGCGGCTCCCGCTATGCTGCACGATGCTTCTCCTGCACATGATATGTTGCGCCGTTTGAAAATCACTGCTCGCCGCCAGCCCGTGGCCAGAGGGTCGCGTGCTGATGTGCGGGCTTCCCACCAATGGGTGGTAAGCTTCGTATGTTGCGTCCGTGGACGCGCACACGCGCGGGCCGACCTTGCGGTGGCTCTGTGAATGCTCGCGAGACCTCAGTGTTGGGGTTGCGTCTTCAAAAAAAAGCGTCTTCGAGGTACGAGGAGGCGAGCTGGACGCCGTGGCCGAAACTTGATTTGTGAGAAGTTATCGAAGATGCGCGCGCGCCGCGAAACAAGGGGTTGGGTATCGCACGGCACCGTTCGTTCGTTGGCGGATGACGGGAAGCGTCTTCGAGGTACGAGAAGCGAGCTGGACGCTGTGGCTGAAACTGCATCTGTAAGGAACTATCGAAGGTCCGCGCGTGCGCCGCGAAACAAGTTTGCTATCGCACGGGGGGTCGGCTCAGCGGACTCCTCAACATGAGCATTTCGCCCGAGACACCCTCGCAAAAATGAATTGTTCGCAACACCGTCTGTGTCAGAAAATAGGCGTTTCGCCTGAGACGTCCTCCCAAAAGTAAAAGTCGCGAATCCGGCGAATCTTCGAAAATGAGCGTTTCGCTGGAGACATCTTCGAACAAATAAAATGTTGGCAGGAGTGCTTTACTACCTCTTATGTTAAGCATAGCGTTCTCGCTGGGAACATCCTCAGAACATGAACAGAAACACGGCAGATAAAAATTATCCTGGCGAAAGACCCAACCATATGCAGTTCTGGGTACCGCAATTGTGAATACATTCTTCTTCGGTGAAGCTCCCTTTGGGGCCACGAAGCGCTGCACTGGGTGGGGGGAACGCATGCGGGCGGTAGCACTGGGGCCGTCGGTGGAGCTCCCTATGGGGCCACGAAACGCTGTACTGGGTGGGGGGGACGCACGCGGGCGGTAGCACCGGGGCCTTCGGTGAAGCTCCCTATGGGGCCACGAAACGCTGTACCGGGTGGGGGGGACGCATGCGGGCGATAGCACTGGGGCTGTCGGTGGAGCTCCCTACGGGGCCACGAAACGCTGTACTGAGTGGGGGGGGCGCATGCGGGCAGTAGCACTGGAGGCTTCGGTGGAGCTCCCTATGGGGCCAGGGGCTTCGGTGGGGCTCCCTATGAGGCCACGAAACGCTGTACTGTGTGTGTGTGTGTGGGGGGCGCATCTGGGTGTGCGGGACGCATGCTGACGGTAGCACTGGGACCTTTGGTGGGGCTTCCTATGGGGCCACGAAACGTGTGAGGGGGGGGTGCTGAAACGGGTGATGATGATGATGGTGGAGGAGGGAGGAGGGAGAGGAGGAGGAGGAGGAGGAAGACGAGGAGGAGGAGGCGAAAGCGGGGACCGTTATTTCAAAACGAGGACCCAGCACCACAGGATGGTTGGGAAAAAGAGCACAACAAAAAATGTGTTTTTCAACAAAAATAAGGTGTTCTCGACACCGTCTTAACATCGTTCTTGAAGTGTTTCAAGATGAAGAAACGAGAGCCCAAAAAGAACCCCAAGATGGCTCCAAGAGGGCCCTGGAGACTGCCGAAAACGACGATTTCGCTAAGGACGTCCCCCCACAAAAAGACAAATACGATAATATCGGTTTGAAACATGTTCGTCTAACATCGTCTTGGAATCGCTATCGCAAAAGCGTCAAAACTGCCCAAACCAGCCTTCTACAAATTGCGATGTCTCTAGGGATATCCTTTTGAAAACTTAAGTGTCCAACATCGCATGGTTCTGATGTTTGAGGGCATCAAGGCGACCCCAAAGAGCCCAAAAACGAGCCCCAAGATGACCCACAGAGCGCTCTCAAGACGACCACGAATGACGATTTTGCTAGGGACATCCTCACCTAACTGAGAGTTTACCTGCATCGGCGCTTGCAAAAACGAACAATTCGCCTGAGACATCCTCCCGATCAGGAAGTCGCGAATGTTCCATATGCTCGAAGATGAATGTTTCGCCTGAGACATCCTCGCCGAACAAACGTCGGCAGGGGTGGTGTCCTGCTTCTTATGTTGAAAACGACACTCTCGCTCGAGACATCCTCAGAAGATGGGGGAGCGCATGGCATACCAAGTTAGCTGCATGTTCGACGTCATTTCTAAAAGTCGCCATTTCGCCAGGAACATCATCATAAAAATGGCGTGTTCCCAACATCGCTTTGAGATCGTTGCCAAAACTCTTCAAGACGGAAAAAAACGGAATCCAAGCAGTACTCCAAGATGGCTCCAAGAGTGCCTTGAGGACGGCCGAAAATGACGATGTCGTTAGGGACGCCCTCGAAAAGTACGAACTCGGCAAACCAAACGAAGACGGCAGAGCACACAGAAGCACGGCAGAACATGCTCTCAACATCGTCTTGGTATCATATCTGAAGCGCTTCAAGGTGGTGAGACAAGAGCTCCCAGAGGACCCCAAGATGGCTCCAAGAGCGCCCTGAAGACTGCCGAAAATGACGAGTTCGCCAGAAACACGGCAGACCAGCACGGCATACCAGCACGGCAGGCCAGCACGGCAGGCCAGCACGGCAGGCAAGCACGGCACACCAGCACGGCAGGCCAGCACGGCAGACCAGCACGGCAGAACAGCACGGCAGACCAGCACGGCAGGCCAGCACGGCACACCAGCACGGCAGAACAGCACGGCAGGCCAGCACGGCACACCAGCACGGCCGCCCAGCACGGCAGAAGAGCACGGCAGATCAGCACCGCGTAGGACGTCACTCCTCTGGAGCCCCCAGCGGCCCTCGAAAGCGGCGGCAGCTTCGCAGGTCGCAGGCCCCCAGAGACGGTGGGGTCCCCCTCTGATCTGCGTAGCACCGTACTAAACTGGGCCCGCCAACAGCCCTGGAAAAATGGCGAAAAGTTCGCAGATCGCAGCCCCTAGGCATGGCGAGGTCTAGTCTAAATCTTAGTATGGCGACACTGTGCTGACCACCCCAACAGCCCTCGAAAAAGCGAAAGCTTCTCAGATCTCTGAGTCTGGGTATAGCGACACACCCTCGAAAGTGCTGACAGCTTCGCAGATCGCGGCCCCTGATGGATGGCGAGGTCAGAGGCAGGTCCGAGAGAGGTGCCGGACAAGAAGATAGAGAGAGAGAGAGGGAGAGGGTGAGGAGGGAGGCGGGAAGGAGGAGGAAGGAGACGCGACCACAGTGCTCCGGTCAAGACGAGAACCCACAACGGAGGATTAGGCATGAAAGAAAAAATGGGAAACTGCATGAGCATACGCCTTCGGGGGTCCGCGCGGATTTCCTGGATCGGCGCTGGACCCCCTCCCTGTCGCGCGGAGCGCGCGGGGGGCGGCGCTAGAGGCGCCGCCAGGTGGCATCAACGCCGACGAAATAAATCCGTGCTGGTCTCCGAAAATGTATGTCCATGCCTTCTTTCTCCTTCAAAAACCTGGGGGCACGCTGGCATAGTTTCGGATCCGTGGATCTGGCGCGTGGGCGCCATACCCACGCAGATCGGCGAAGGCGCCCCCCGAGACGTGGCGCCCAAGCCGCCCGCTGCGGCAACAGGCGCGCGCGAATGCCGCACGGAAGCGGGATCCATCGGTGAGCCACGTGTCTTAGGAAGAATCCTCACCTCGGTGGGGTGAGGGGCAACGATGACGGGCGGGGGAGGGAGGGAGGACGAGGAGGAGGAGGAGGAGGAGGAGGAGGAGGAGGAGAGGAGGAGGGAGGAGGGAGGAGGAGGGAGAGGAGGAGGTGGAGGAGGAGGAGGAGGGAGGAGGAGGAGGAGGAGGTGGAGGAGGAGGAGGAGGAGGAGGAGGAGGAGGAGGGAGGAGGACGGGGGCCCAGGCGCCAGCTCTCCTGAACTCCGCAGGCGGCAGCGGCGGCGCCGCCGGCTGCTCGGGCAGGTCGCCGCACGGGGCCCCTGGCCGCGCGGCGGTCTGGGCGGCCGCGTC